CGCTGCCGTCCGCGGCTCTCCTTGCCCTCCTAGAAACAGCTCAAGTGCCTTGGGCACTCCACCGGGTTCTGCACCAAGTTCTGCATCATAAATACGACCCTCGTGCAGGATTTAAGTGTGAACTTCCGCAGGCTCTCGGACCCTGAAGCACCCAGGTCTTCCCATCTAAGACATTCTGGGCTCGCGACAGAAGGAACGCAGAGAGGCCTACAGATGCGACTCGAGGACGCGGAGGCAGAGCATGCACTGCCCTGCCCCGCCCCGCCCCGCCCCGCCCCGCCCCGCCCCGCCCCGCCCCGCCTTCCAGCACCGGTCCTCCAGCGCCGACTCCCAGCCCCTCTCTCACCCTTCAAATCGCGCTCCGCATCTGGACTCTCGTGAGAGCTGAGACTTGCCCCGGAAGACCCGCCCCCCGAGCTGGAGAGGCCAATGGGCGAGGGCAACGGTTGCGACGGTTGCGTTTTGAAGGAGCCAATGAGTGCTCGGGGCGGAGAGTTTAAGAGGCGTAAGCCAGGCGTGTTAAAGCCGGTCGAACTGCAGCCTGCTAGGGAGCGCACGGTGAGAGGTCGCAGGGCTGAGCCGAGGTGGGGCCGTGGCCAGGGGAATGGGGTGCTAGGCTGGAAGGGGCTGCAGCGGAGGGTGGCCCTGATTGTGTGGCCGGCCAGGAGCGAAGGGGTCCCTCGCTGTCCCTTGAGCACCGTCGCCTCCTTTCTCCAGGTCTCCGCAGGCACCAACTGCAAGGACCCCTCCCACTGCGGGCGCTCCCATGGCGCAGTTCGCGTTCGAGAGTGACCTGCACTCGCTGCTTCAGCTGGATACACCCATCCCCAATGCACCCCCCGCGCGCTGGCAGCGCAAAGCCAAGGAAGCCGCAGGCCCGGCCCCCTCACCCATGCGGGCCGCCAACCGATCCCACAGCGCCGGCAGGACTCCAGGTCGAACTCCTGGTCAGTGGGGTGCCAGAGGGACTGGCTGAAAGTAGCCTTCATGCTTCCTCCCCCAGGGAGCCCGGTCCAACTGTCTTCTCCTTCTCCGCCCCAGGCAAATCCAGTTCCAAGGTTCAGACCACTCCTAGCAAACCTGGCGGTGACCGCTATATCCCCCAACGCAGTGCTGCCCAGATGGAGGTGGCCAGCTTCCTCCTGAGCAAGGAGAACCAGCCTGAAAACAGCCAGACGCCCACCAAGAAGGTATGTGTCCCAGAGGGGCTTAAGGCACAGGACCTGACTGTTCTTTGGATAATACCATCTTGCCTCTCCACCACCCTTTATGCCAGGAACATCAGAAAGCCTGGGCTTTGAATCTGAACGGTTTTGATGTAGAGGAAGCCAAGATCCTTCGGCTCAGTGGAAAACCACAAAATGCCCCAGAGGGTAAGACCTGAAGTTCCTGGTTCCTCGAGGGAAGTGTCAGTTTATCCCCAGGGTTGAGGGCAGATATCTGTCTGCTCTTCCCATCTAAGACTGAGGGCAAGGGAGGTGTTGATTTTCCCAGCGTCTAGACCCACTCCGTTGCCACAGGTTACCAGAACAGACTGAAAGTACTCTACAGTCAAAAGGCCACGCCTGGCTCCAGCCGGAAGACCTGCCGTTACATTCCTTCCCTGCCAGACCGTATCCTGGATGCCCCAGAAATCCGAAATGACTACTGTGAGTGCATCCCTGTCCTAGCTTCATAGATGGATAAGGAGGACCTGGGACCAGGCAAACAAGGAAGCTCATGCTTTTCTCTCCACCTCTGACAGACCTGAACCTTGTGGATTGGAGCTCTGGGAATGTCCTGGCTGTGGCACTGGACAACAGTGTGTACCTGTGGAGTGCAAGCTCTGGTGATATCCTGCAGCTTTTGCAAATGGAGCAGCCTGGGGAATATGTATCCTCTGTGGCCTGGATCAAAGAGGGCAACTACTTGGCTGTGGGCACCAGCAGTGCTGAGGTGCAGGTGAGACATGTCCCTGCCCTGCAGTTCTCAGCAGTCCCTGTGGGCTTGCACAGCTGGAGGATATTTATGTCAAGTCCCAATCTCTCATCCCAGTGGGCTTCTCTCTGTAGCTATGGGATGTGCAGCAGCAGAAACGGCTTCGAAATATGACCAGTCACTCTGCCCGAGTGGGCTCCCTAAGTTGGAACAGCTATATCCTGTCCAGGTCAGTGGTTTTTGTTAATCTATGGTAGTCAGTCTGATTTTTGCCCACCCTACCGTTGACTGTACACCCCTGAACTGAAGCAGCTCTGGCTTGCTTCCATTTGGTGCTGCCACAGAACCTGATTCCCTTCTTCCCTCCTCCAGTGGATCACGTTCTGGCCATATCCACCACCATGATGTTCGGGTAGCAGAACACCATGTGGCCACACTGAGTGGCCACAGCCAGGAAGTGTGTGGGCTGCGCTGGGCCCCAGATGGACGACATTTGGCCAGTGGTGGCAATGATAACTTGGTCAATGTGTGGCCTAGTGCTCCTGGAGAGGGTGGCTGGGTTCCTCTGCAAACATTCACCCAGCATCAAGGGGCTGTCAAGGTGAGTGGGGTTGGGCTGAAGCCTCTGCAGACCTTCACGTATAACCCGGGGACTGTTAAGGGGAGAAGGGATGGTAGGATTGTGACCCCTACAGCTCCTTGTCTTGCTCTAGTACCTGCTAACCTCACCTTTATCCCACATAGGCTGTAGCATGGTGTCCCTGGCAGTCCAATGTCCTGGCAACAGGAGGAGGCACCAGTGATCGACACATTCGCATCTGGAATGTGTGCTCTGGGGCCTGTCTGAGTGCTGTGGATGCCCATTCCCAGGTAATCTTTTGGCTGTTCCCACCTGTCCCATATGCCTTTTTCTTTTTGAGATGGAGTCTTGCTCTGTCACCCAGGCTGGAGTGCAGTGGCATGATCTCGGCTCATTGCAACCTCTGCCTCCCGGGTTCAAGTAATTCTCCTGCCTCAGCCTCCTGAATAGCTGTGATTATAGGCGCCCGCCACTGCGCCCAGCTAATTTTTGTATTTTTAATAGAGACAGGGTTTCACCACCTGGGCCAGGCTGGTCTCGAACTCCTGACCTTATGATCCACCTGCCTTGGCCTCCCAAAGTACTGGGATTACAGGCGTGACCACTGCACCTGGCCCCACATGCGTGCTTACTGGGCAACGACATCCATTCCAATGGCTTCACCAACTCTGCCCTGGTGATTCCCAAACTTCTAACTCTGCTTTCACTCATGAGCTTCATTTCCAACAGTCTGCCTGTCTCCAATCCTATGTCCTATAGGCACCACCGCCTCTATCTGTCCCAAATTAACCTTGTCACTTCCCCTTGACTCCCTGAAATGTGGAGTGAAATGTCACTCCCTGAAATGTCACTTCCCCTTGCCTCCCTGAAATCCTTCCTGTCTCACATTGCTTTAGAATGGCAGAACCTGCTCAGAAATCTGAAAAGCCTACTAGAATCTTTCATCCTCCTCACCAGGATCTACCAGTTTTACCTCAGAATATCATTGACATCTGTCCCCTCCTCATCCTTCCCAGTGGAGGCCCACTACAATGGCTTCCTCACTGGTCTCAAGCATTCTCTTTTATCTCTGCAATGCATCCTCTATGCTGTGGTCTGAATGGTCTGTTATACTGTCCTTAAACCTGTGATGGCTTCTCATCACCTATGGCATATAATCTAAATCCATTAGAAAGATATTTGAGGCTGTTTCCTTCCACTCCCCCCACATTCAACCTTCACTATAGATATGGACTCTAGAGCCAGATGGCCCAAGTTCAAATTCTGGCCCTTGTCACCTACTGAACTTGAATGTGAACTTCAGCAACCTAACAAACTTCCTTCTGATTGATTCCTCAGCTATACAGTGGATAATACAGATGTTCCCCAATTTAAGTCCCAGTAAACCCATTATAAAGTCAAAAAATGGTTAAGTCAGGAAGCCTCTATAATTTGCCTCTCAAGGGACTTTTCTATGGACTGTGATCATTCAAGTCTGAGTCTGGGTGGCAGGGTGCCTGTCACTAGAAGGGACTCAGTTCTGATTTAAGTAGCCCTTGGCTATATGTCATGCACATACCAGCTCCTCTCCACAGGTGTGCTCCATCCTCTGGTCTCCCCACTACAAGGAGCTCATCTCAGGCCACGGCTTTTCACAGAACCAGCTGGTTATTTGGAAGTACCCAACCATGGCCAAGGTGGCTGAACTGAAAGGTAGGTGGCTAGGTGAAAAGCTGGACATAAAAGGTCACATACTGTTTGAAATGTCCACAATAGGCAAATCCAGAGACAAAACACATTAATGGTTGCCAGGGGCTGAGGAGAGAGGGTAATGAGAAGTGCTGAAAATGTCTTAGAATTAGTTTCAGCAGTCGTACAATTTTTTGTGAATATATTAAAAACCGCTAAACGGCACACTTTAAAAGGATTAATTTTATGGTATGTGAATTATATCTCAATAATGTTACAAAAAAAGGGAGGCGTGTGGCCCAGTGCCTCCTTTATGGGCGGGCTATGGCTGCATCAGCATTCATATGTACTGCTCTCATTTGCTCCAGGTCACACATCCCGGGTCCTGAGTCTGACCATGAGCCCAGATGGGGCCACAGTGGCATCCGCAGCAGCAGATGAGACTCTGAGGCTATGGCGCTGTTTTGAGTTGGACCCTGCACGGCGGCGGGAGCGGGAGAAGGCCAATGCAGCCAAAAGCAGCCTTATCCACCAAGGCATCCGCTGAAGACCACGCCATCACCCCAGTTGTTTTTTATTTTTCTAATAAAGTCATGTCTCCCTTCATGTTTATCTGTTTCAGCTAATCCCTTTATTCTTTCATGACTATGTCCTAGCAGCCTTCCTAGGGGCTCTACTCTACTGGGATCAGAGAGCTAGAAATGTCCGCTGGGAGACTTGACCATCTATCCCTCCTGTTTATGAACAGGGCCAAGGGTGTTGTGTTTCCCCACCTCCTCCATTCACATATGTATACGCACAGCCTCCGCGGTTTCCTCTGTCACTTTTAATTAAGACAAGTGAGTAAGCAGCCTCTACAGGCTGTATTCCCAGGCCCCCGCCCACCCTGACCTTTGGCCCAGAAGCTGCTGCTTCAGTGTGTGGGGTGGAGGAAGGAGACTGGGTCCACAGTGACAGGTTATTGCTGACCTCTTCAATGTTGAGGAAAAAGGCCACGAGACCCTCGTGGGGCCAGCCCTGAGTGCTCCTCTCCCAAGTTTAAGGCAGGGAGGGGGAAGTAACTGTCCAGCCCTTTTAGCCCCCAGCTCTGGAGTGGCAGACAGCAATGAGGCCACGTCCCTGGAGCTGGCCAGGGGAAGTAGGTGAGGAACGGAAGCGTGGTCCCTGTAGACCAGCTATGGGGAGGGGAGGGCCAGTCCCCTGCTCAGTCCTGACCACATAAGCCTTGGTCACAGGTGTAGGTGGAGAGGGCACTGATGGACACTGCCCAAGGTGTAGTCCTGAGGCACTTAGGTGTGTGCCTATCTAGGCCATGCTTCTCAGTTGGCCTTGACCTTGGCAATATCTGGAGCTCCATTTTGCTGAAGTGCACGGGGCAGCCGCTTGCCCTTGGTGTAAGAGTGATACCAGAAGTTGGAGAACAGCACGAAGAAGATGGTGCCATACATCCAGATAAGGTGAATTATGACTGGGTACTGGTAGTTACAGCTGGACATAAAGTAGTACTGGGAGATGTGCAGTGAGACCAGGACAAACTGGATCTAGGACAGAGAAAGGCCAGGGTCAGAAGGAACAGTGAGGACTAGAGGGGAAGAGGGGGTAGAGAAAGAGATAAACACTGAGTAGGGAGAGATGGGGTCGAAGGTAAAAGACTGGATAAAGGCAGGATCCAGGCTAGGAATGTGGGAGGATGGTTATAGGTAGGTCAGGCCAAGCCCCTCACCAGCTGGATGGCTGTCATATGCTTTTTCCACCAAAGGTAGGGTTGAGCCACAGGGCCAAGGGCAGACAATCCGTAGTACAGGTACATTATGACATGCACAGAAGAGTTTATCATGGCATGGAAAGAGCCCATTCCTCCTGTGAGTGGACAATAAGACAGCGTCAGCAGAGCCCAGCCTCTGGTGCCCACCCTCTTCCCATAGTGGCCTTCTCCACTCACCCGGGGCAATCTTTATCCCCCACCACCAGCTCCAGGGAAGCACAGAGTGATGAAAGACATGTAGGAAGGTCACCTGCCCATCTTTCTTTCGGAGAATAAAGATCACCTAAGAGAAAAGTGAGGAAAGGGGTTTCAGAACCTGGCCTCTCCACCTCATTCTCCCCACAAGTTCTCATGTCTCATATAACTACTCACTGTGTCCATCAGCTCAATGAACTTGGAGAAGAGGAAGAGCCAGGCCACCCGAACCATCTGCAAGAAGTTGGGACAGCCTTAGGACCTCATACACTCTTCTAAGAGCCTGCCTAAACTGGGCCTTGAGCACAGGTCCCAAACTGGTCCTATCCACCAGGTTGCTTATGACCTAGCCCCAGTCCCTACTTACCCTAAGTGCCTCAGGGCTGTTGGAATAGTCCACAGGGTCACAGCGCCAGGTATAGGTGCTCAGCCAGCCTGACATCAGGAACTAGGAAGGGGTGTGGATTAGACCACCAGAGTTCTCCCTTCCCAGCCATCCCTCCCCTTCACTAGCTGAGGACAGGGATCTGAACCTCTCCGGAAAGGAGAAATGCCATGCTCTGGCTCTGTGGCCTGCTCCTTATCCTGCTGACAGAAATTAAAGCCCGGCATCCCAGGGGCCCACCTCATAGACAATGTAGAGGGAGAGTGCCACCAGTGAGAAATTGTAGACAATCATGAAGCCACGGAGCTGGAAGGGCTTCCGATTAGCCATGATGCGAGGCCCAAGTGAGAGAACGAAGTACACGTAGGTCAGCAGGATGGAGGTCATTAGCAGCGGGGACCCCATCAGAGGGTAGCCCTGGATCCGGGGATCTACGAATAAGGGTCCAAGGAGTTAGGAAGGGTCACAGGGTTCAAAGGGTCTTCATTAGGTCTACAGACATGAGGTCAGGTCACGAAGGGTCAAGGGGTTCACAGGAACTCTCCATTAGAAGATAGTCCTAGATTCAGGGGTCCCGAGAAAGAAAGGAGGAAAGGGCTGGTAGACAGCGTCTTACCTGCATGCTTCATCATCTCCTGGTACAAGTTCACGACAGCCTCCATCCTGGCTAAGGACTCTGGGGAGGTACAGAGATGTCAAACAGAGTCCACTGCACACCCCCATCCCACAGAGATGACACAGAACCAGACAACTCCCAGTGCCTCATTGCAGAAAGGACAGAATAGTGAAAGGAAGGAATTACTGGGGACTAGCGGGAGGAGGCAGTTTGGTGGAGGCATCTGCTCCCCACACATCCTGCCTGCCTGGGAAGGGCTGTTCCACCCTTCCTCTCCACACCTTACTCTGCTCTCCTCTCCACAATTTTACTTCCTGGCCTCCTTTTCCCTCTTACTCCATAAGAGAACTCTCAATTCCAGGTCTGTTACTGGAGAATCTTACCCCCTCACCAACAGGGAGCTCATCTTCAGAATGAACTCCGTCTCCCCTCCTCACCCGACTTCCTTACCTCTCCGGCTCTGGGTCTTTCTTCTCTCCAGAAATTTCTCCCCTTCAATCTCTCCTCTCCTGCCCTCTCCTCTTTCCGTCCCTATGGACCTTTCCCGGGACTCTCTTCTTCTCCCCAGGATCCCTCCTGTCCCTGCCAGGAATCTCACCTCCCTGGGCCTTTGTGTCCCTTCCAGAACCTTATCCTGGGATTCCTTCTTGCCCCTGCTGGGACACTCATCTCCCGACTTTTCTCCTCTGCCTTCCCGGGGCTCTCACCTCCAGCCTCTCCTCTCCGGCGCTCTCCTCTCTCCTCTGGCAGAGCCCTTCCTCTCCTGGAGCCTGGCTCTTTGAGACTCCTGCCCCGGCGGCTCCACCTGTCTGACTAGATCTGGCAGCAGCCCCGCCCTCCGCCCGCCCCCGCTGTACTGCGCATGGGGTGGAGGGTGGGTCCAGGCCACAGGTCAGTGCCCGGGGGAGCAGGACCCACCAGGATTGGGAAAGCCAAGTAAAGCCCCAGACTCACCACCCACCCACCCGGGACCAGCCCGATGAGCTAAGGTCCTATGTTCTGAGCCAGAAACCTCCTCCGACCCCAGCCCTGGCCCAAAGCGCTGCTGAAGATCCACACCCAGCATCCTCTCCTAAGCCGGCCATAACTTCTCAGTTTGTCCTATTTCAGAATGGGTACAAGCACTCTTTCCTTCCTGGGAGGGGCAGGGAAGCCAGTGGCATGTGAGGGGGTGGAGGAGTGGGGGAGGTCGCAGGAATCTTCCCCTCCCTCAGGGAGGGGTCCTGATAAGCTAGGCCCCCTCCCCCTCAGGGCCTGAAGGAATGTCGGGGGAAGGCTCCCAGGGACACAAACACCTCTGGCCAGACCCCGGAGAGCCTGGTACTGACACAGTCCCTCAGGGACAAGGCATTCTTGGAACAGAGCAGGGCCCAGGGCAGCAGGTGCCCCAGGCTCCCTGCTTCCAGAGAAGCACCTGTGCAGGTGCGAGTGAAGAGGCACACCTTTGACATCTCCCGCCCCGCACACCCTCACAGCTACTCTCCCACACTTCCAGGAGGCCCACCTTCTTTAGGCCCACCGTGGTCAGGCCCCAAGCCTGCAGCCCACACTGCCCCGCACCCACCTCTCCACCCCCCAATGGCCAAGGCGCCACGCCGAGGGCTGGCACACACGTCACCTGCCTGACACACCACCCAACACCTCCGTGGGCTGACACGCGTGGCTCCTGGCCCTCATGTAGCTCGGCCGCCGCCCAGGCACACGCACGGGCTCACCCGCGGGGCCACTCACGCACGTGTGCGCGCTGCCCGGTCACGCTCGGATCTCCTCCCCACTTGCTCCCCCACCCGCCGGCTTGCTGGCCGCCCATCCCCGGCAGGGCCCAGGCAGAGGCGAGGGCGCCAACACAGGTTCCTCCCTGACACAAGGGAGCCGGCCAGCCTGTTATCTCTCAACCACCAGCCCCCAAGATCAACCCACACACCCGGCAGGCCAGGAGGGACTCAAGGCTCCTGGGACGACCTCTCCCCAAGTTGCAGGATAATCTGGGTGTGTCCCTCGTGGGAGAACTCAGCCCGTCCCTTCCTTCCTTTGAGATGGATGGAAGGGAAAAGGAGCCTGGCAAAGTTAGGGGAGCGGGGGGAGGGAGGGGAGGGGAGGCAGGAGAGGGGCAAAAGCAGGAGTGGTGGAGGAAGGCCTGGGTGTAAGCAAATGGGGGCCAGGGACGCGGGTGTGGGGGAGGGAGGGTGCTGGCGAGGCCCGGCCCCAGGGAGCTGGGACCTCCCACCCACCGGCCGCGGGAACAGCCTCGCCCACAGCCTGGGCAGGGCAGGGCAGGGCTGAGCCGGGCTGGGCCGGGCTGGCCAGGCAGGGGGCGCCGGCACGTGGAGAGCCGGTGGAAGGTCCAGACTCACCCGTAGGGGCCAGGCGGGCAACGGCGGAGGGCTCGGAGGGAACAGGGCCAGAGAGAAGTCCCCGGGGCCAGCCTGCCTGCCTGCCACTTCCTCATCTGCTGGGCCGACTTTCTGTCACCAGAGGGGGAGGGGCGGGGGCGCCCGCTGATTGGGCGGCCGGCGGGGCCGGAGGCCGGCAGCGCAGGCTCGGCCGGGGCGGGGGCAGGGGCGGGCCGCCGGGTCCCGGCAGGAAGCGCCGCGGCCCGGGCTCCCAACCCCTTCCCTCGCCGCCCCGGCCCGCCCTGGTCGGTGGCTGCGGCCTGGCCGCCTCCGGAGCACGCCGCTTCTTCCCGACGTGCACCCCGGAGCCCGGGCTTGTCCCGGGGTGACTGCTCTCCAGCAGGACGGCGCGTCTGTGTGCGGCAGGCCAGGCTTAGGGCTCGCGGGGAGGGTTCGGCCTTGCCCTCAAAGAGCTCCCTCTCCTGCAGGGTGAGCCCAGAGCGGCGGGCTGGAGCACAATGCGTGTGCTGAGGGCAGACGGTGGCAGGAGGTCTGCGCGGGAGAGAAGCCTCCCGAGCCTGTACACTTGGAGGAGCCCTAAGCGTTAGGATCCGCTTTCGAGGGCAGTCTGGAATGGAAGTGGGAGGATACAAGTGGCCCGGGGCAAGCACAGTGAATCACCAGCTAAACTGGCCTTCGAGGTAGTGAAAGGAAAAAAGGGACGTGAGGCTGACTGTGGCTGAATGTAGTAGGTCCTGAAGGCCAAATGGGGCGATCTGATTTTTATTCTAGAAGCAGAGGAGAAACAGTAAAGATTTTTGAGAAGACTATTATCAGGCTTGTATCATTAATTCATCAGACGTTTATGGACCACCCACCGCCCCTGCACTCACGGGGTTTGCAGTCTCTCTGTCTGAATCACTTCACTCTGGCAGCCAGTGTGAGGAGGGCACAAGAAGGAGACCAGGTGAGACCGCCAGCCTGACCAAAGAAGGTCTGGAAACTGATGGGATTGGAGGAGGCGGACAATGTGGAGCTTTCCTCCAGACAGCTGGACTGGCTATATATATTTAGTTATCTATTCCACACCCCCAACCCCCACCTCTACACTCACTAACTGGACTCAACTAGTGGGGGCAAAGGATGGACTAGGTTTTAGTGAAATGGAATTTCTACCTCTAGCGGTCCCTGGAACAGGAGCACACAACAATTGAATAACTGTAGGATTGGTTGGTGTAAAAGTGGACAGAATTAGGAAATTTGGGATACTCTGGGCACACTGCCTATGGGGCAGCCCTGCTCCACAAGGAAAATAAACACATTTTTTAAAAAAAGAATTGACCGGGCGTGGTGGCTCAGGCCTGTAATCCCAGCACTTTGGGAGGCCAAGGTGGGCAGATCACCCCGAGGTCAAGAGTTTGAGACCAGCCTGGCCAACATGGCAAAACCCCATCTCTACAGAAAATAGAAAAATTAGCTGGGTGTGGTGGTGCACACCTGTAATCCCAGCTACTCAGGAGGCAGAGGCAGAAGAATCACTTGAACCTGGGAGGCGGAGGTTGCAATGAGCCAAGAACGAGCCACCGCACTCCAGCCTGGGCAACAAGAGTGAAACTTCGTGTCAAAAAAAAAATAAAAAAAAGAGTAAGGAATTCGGAAGACTTGGTAGTTGAGAGAATAAGATGTTCACAAATGGTGGGACAGGCTGGGCATAGTGGTTCACACCTGTAATCCCAGCACTTTGGGAGACCAAAGCAAGCACATTGCTTGAGCTAACAACTTCGAGCCTGGGCAACTTTGTGAGACCCTGTCTCTACAAAAAATACAAAAAACTGGCCGGGTGTGGTGGCTCATGCCTATAATCCTGGCACTTTGGGAGGCTGAGGTGGGCGGATCACCTGAGGCCAGGGGTTCAAGACCAGCCTGGCCAACATTGTGAAACCCCATCTCTACAAAAATACAAAAATTAGCCGGGCATGATGGCAGGTACCTGTAATCCCAGCTACTGGGGAGGCTTGAACCCAGGAGGCAGAGGTTTTAGTGAGCTGAGATTACACTACTGCACTCCTGCGTGGGTGACAGAAAGACTCTGTCTCAAAAAATAATAATAATTACAAAAAATTATCTGGGCATGGTGGTACACACCTAGAGTCCCAGCTACATGGGAGTCCGAGGTGGGAGGATGACTTGAGCCCAGGAGGCAAAAGTTGCAGTGAGACAAGATTACACCACCGCACTCCAGTCTGAATGATAGAGACCTCATCTCAATAAATAATAAATAAATAACTCCACAAATGGTGGGATATAGCTATGTGGAAGTTTAGTCCTAGAGCCTAGGTAAGAGGTCTGAGCCAAAGTACAGATATGACCCAGCCCATTAGTACCCATCCTTGAAAGGAAATGGCAGAAGAGTTCACTATTTTAAAAAGCTCCAACTTCTAACTTAGCACTGTACACCAAGGTCCTACCTGATCTGGTCCCTGCCTAGTCCTCTCATTCTACCTGTGACAACTGTCCTGGGCCCCACCCGGTGCTTTAACCATTCTCTGAGGGTATCAGCATCTTTCATACCCCTCTCAACCCTCAAGCCTTGCCCCCAGCTCAGCACAAGGAACAGTCAAGTCACCTAGGCAGTAAATCACTCCCTCCTCTTGCTCTCAAAATTGTAATTATCTGCTTATTCGAATCCCAAAACTATAAGCTCCTCCTAGCCAGGGCCAGGTTTTGTCATCTCCGTATCTCCAGCATCAGGCCCATTGTCTGGCACTCGGTTGATCCTCCATGTTTGTTGAGTGAATGTTAGTGTGAATGGGATGATGTGAGAAAGGAAGAGAGGCCAACGGACTCAGAGTCAAGTGGAGAGGACAGTAAGAATTCAAAAGCCTTTCCATTTCCCTGTTCACTGAGTCCATAAATATTTACTGAAAGCCTGTGTGCCAGGTATATCCTAGTGACTTTGGGTTCACACCTGATTTCAAAGGCTTGAGTTTAAATGTTCCAATTAGTACCTGTGTGACCTTATGTAAGTTGCTGAACCTCTATAAAATGGGAACAAAAACAGTACCTATCTCATAGGATTGCTGTGAAGACTGAAGGAGATAACCCACATAAAGTGCTTAGCACTGTTTCTGTCTCAACATTTAATGGACAAGGTGGGAAAGTGCCCCATATATACTTATTGAAGTATATTTTGAAGGTATATACTTATATGTAGATTCATGAGCATTCGTCTAAAAATATTTCCTAAACAGTTACTGTGTGCAAACCACTGTTGTGACAGCACTATTGAGAGATTTTGATTTAAATGTCCATCATAAGAGTGCACTAGAGACAAAGCAGACCATTATAGATGATGAAACTGTCCCTGAGGCCAAACACAATAGTGACAGAAAACTTCAACTGTGTATTTATTTACCTGGATCACGCTGGTAAATGACCGTAGCAGGCCTTCAGTAAATGCTGACTGACTACATGAATGAACACGCTCAAAGACAGTTGTTCAGCTCTTGTCCCAGGTTCTTTCACACCCCCCTCCCACTTCCCGAGTTTATTTTGTTCAGTTTGGCAAACAGTGAATGGATGGGAGAGAGCATCCTCAAATATCTAATATAGGCCACTTATCCCCAAATCCTACCAAATTGCCTCTTCATGGCCCTGAGGTTCCTGCAAAACACTTGGTCTGATGGAAAAGACAGACATATAGATGAGCAATTATATATGGTGAGTGTTCCCATAGAGATAAACCCAGAGGGTTATGAAAGCACTGGGGTGCAGGGGCACCTTAACCCAGTATGGAGGCTAATTCTTGAAGGTGGCACAAAAACGACACTTAAGTTGAACATTAAAGGATACTTTCTAGGCTGGGAGTGGTGGCTCACACCTGTAATCCCAGCACTTTGGGAGGCCGAGGCGGGTGGATCACCTGAGACCAGACTGGCCAACATGGTGAAACCCCGTCTCTACTAAAAAATACACAAAAAATTAACCGGGCGTGGTGACGGGCGCCTGTAATTCCAGCTACTCGGGAGGCTGAGGCAGGAGAATCACTTGAATGCAGGAGGCGGAGATTGTAGTGAGCCAAGACTGCGCCACTGCACTCCAGCCTGGGCGACAAGAGCAAGACTCCATCTCAAAAAAAAAAAAAAAAAAAAAAAAAGGACACTTTCTAGAAAGCAGGGAAAGGCATTCTAAGCAGAGGGAAGCCTGTATGTGAAGGCATGGAAGCAAGAGATGTGACAGGTTTGGGGAACGCTGGTAGTTTGGTATGACTCCAGTTCAGAAGGCATTAGGGAAGGGCAGGAAAGGTAGACATGGGTCAGTTTATGAAGTGCCTTGTATGCCACAGTAAGAAGATAGGATTGTATTCTGTTCATGTTTTTCAGCCCTGGCTGTAACTAGAATCAACTGGGGAGAAGAGCCTTGTATGCCACAGTAAAAAGATAGGATTATATTCTGTTTATGTTTTTCAGCCCTGGCTGTAACTAGAATCGACTGGGGAGCTTTTAAAATATCAGTGCCTGGCTCTCACCTCCAGACTGATGCTAGATGGTTGTTCTTAATGGGAAGAGACCAAAGCATGTTTAAATGCTGTGTGGAGAGAGACAGTAGGATCCAGCATACACATTAACGAGCTAGTCTCTGGCTAAGGAGAATGGAAATAGAGTAAGTTCGTCAGGGAAATGGGAAGAAATTGAGAGAGTTTTGTCTAAAGGAGTCTATTTTTTCCTTTAGTCAGATATTAGGTATTTGCTGAACATGGGGGATGGGTAGGCAGTAGGATAAGGAATTACAGGGAAGTGGTACAGTCTGGAGTAGCTGATGATGGAGTGCTGGGAAAGCTTGGTGAACAGAGTGGAAGACCCCATTGGTTGGGAGGCCATGAGGAATATATCAGTTTAGAAGGCTGTGTGA